CTCATTACACTTTTCAGAGTAGCAGCCGTGTTAGTCTGTATCCGCAAAAAGAACAGGAGTACTTGTGGCACCTTAGAGACTAACAAATTTGAGCATAAGCTTTCGTGGGCTACAGCCCACTTCATCGGATGCATGCCTTTGTGATTCTGGAACAGTAATGGGAAGTTATAATTAAGGCTCCCTTTTTGTCACGGATTCCGTGACTTTCCGTGGACCTCCATGACTTCTGCAGCGGACAGTACACCTGACCTGGAGGCAGCCTGATCAGCTCAGGCAGCTCCCGAGCCAGGCGCACCGACCACTGCTGAGGCAGTCGCGGGTCCCCTCCTGCCCCTCAGCAGCAGGAGTTTGATTGTGGAAGGGGCTTAGGGCTGGGGTGCAAGACAGTGCTTACCTGAGGGGGGGGCGTAACAGGATCTCAGCTCCTAGGTCTACATGCATCCCCGCCCGCAGGCACCACCCCTGCATCTCCCATTGGCCACGGTTCCCAGCCAATGGGAGCTGCAGAACCAGGGCGAGCGGAGGCAGCATGTGGAACTAGGGTTGCCGCTTCCCAGGAGCTGGGTAGGGAACCTGCCCCAGCCCCATGCTGTGACCCCAGCCTCCCCCCAGCATCTGTAGCTCCCCTAGCACCCTCCAGGGCCACCCTAGCAAGCTGCCTTCCCCACCCCACCCCACCCCACCCCCAAGTTTTAGTCAAGGATATATAGTAAAAGTCATGGACAGGTCACAGGCTGTGAATTTTTGTTTATTGCTTGTGATCTGGCCATGACTTTTACTAAAAATACCCATGACTAAAACTAACCTTAGTTATAATCAAATGCTAGGATGGGAGTTCTAGGTTGTTGGGGTTTTTTAAGCTTACTATGATCTTACCTGTCACTACTTGGCCAGAGCTGCCCCTTTCCACTTGAACAGAGCATAGAGTACTTCAGTGACGAACTGACCAGAGTAAAAGCACACAAGCAAGCAATAAACAATGCCAGATTACTTAATACTAAGAAGAAAACTATACTTTTTATCCTTAGAAAGTTTAATTTATCCTTGACATCCCAGTGATGCAAGTATCAGCTGTATCTTACAGGTGGTGAAATGGAGAAAGGTCAACTCACATACCTAAAGACACAGAGCCAGCAGCAGAATCAGGATTAGAGCTTCACAGACCCTCACTTGTAGACCTATGCTCAGGCTCCTTTGTCAGAGGCTGGCCTCTGCATGAGACTCACATTTACCCATTATTTCACACTAATTTTACTCCTGGGGGAATTCTGTGCCAAAAAAAAAAAAAAAAATTCTGCACATATTTTAAAATTTTGCTAATTTTGTCAAAATTACACTATATAATCATGCCAGTTTCAATTATTTTGGTAATTCAATTATTTTGCCAGTTTCAATTATTTCAGGTATATTATTTCAAAATGCCAGTCAGTCAGTATGTCTGTAACAATACAGGTTTCAGAGTAGCAGCCGTGTTCATCTGTATTCGCAAAAAGAAAAGGAGTACTTGTGGCACCTTAGAGACTAACAAATTTATCTGAGCATAAGCTTTCGTGAGCATCCGATGAAGTGAGCTGTAGCTCACGAAAGCTTATGCTCAAATAAATTTGTTAGTCTCTAAGGTGCCACAAGTACTCCTTTCCTTTTGGTAACAGTACAGACACACACAAAAATTCACCCAGGAGTTAAAGAAACCCCTATGACAACCCCAGCACAGACACTCACACCCCCTCCCTCCCAGAGCCCAGCCATGCACCCCGTCAGACCAGACACTCACATCCCCCACTCCCCAGAGGCCAGCTGCAGGGCTTTCCAGCCCAGAAACTCACATCCCCTTGCCACCAGAGTCCAGCTGCACCCTCCCCCAACCCAGACACTAACACCCTCTAACCCCCAGAGCCTAGGGATCCAGAGGGAGAAACAGCCTGATGTTGAGTCCCAGGCTTGCACAGAGTTTCCCGCGCACCACTGCTTCCTTCCTTCAGAGCGTGCTGGGAACTGCAGCTGCTGGGAACCCTGCAGTTCTCTCCTCCTCCCCTGGCCTTGTCTTCTATTTGCGAGCTGGGCTCTGCCAGGTCCAGCAGCTCTTAGTGGCGGCCAACAGCTCTGAACCCATTTCTTTGGGGAAAAAAGGAAATTCTCCACGCACAATTTCTGAAAAATTCTGCATTGCGCAGTGGCGCAGAATTCCCCCAGGAGTAACTAATTACCCACAGGTACATTTATATTGATTTAACATTAATACTATGGTAGATACAAATGCCACAAAACATTATTGATGAAAGAAATTTAACCCATTCAATTTCCTACATGCTAGTTAAAGGTTAGTAGCAATTGGACATCTAACATAGTGAATGCCAGTGAAAATGAGGTAGGATCAGAGGCTACAAGGAAAGAACAAATTAAAAATTACTTAGACAAGTTAGATGTTTTCAAGTTACCAGGGCCTGTTGAAATTCATCCTAGAATACTCAAGAAGCTGACTGAGGAGATATCTGAGCCATAGCGATCATCTTCAAAAAGTCATGGAAGATGGGAGAAATTCCAGAGGACTGGAAAAGAGCAAATATAGTGCCAGCCTATAAAAGGTGAAATAAAGACTAGCAGGGGAATTACAGACCAGACAGCTTAACTACAGTACCCAGAAAGATAATGGAGCAAATAATTAAGCAATCAATTTGTGAATACCTAGAAGATAAGATAAGTAACAGTCAGCATGAATTTGTCAAGAACAAATAGTGGCAAACCAACCTAATAGCTTTCTTTGACAGGGTAACAAACCTTGTGGATAGGGAGGAAGGGGGAGATGTGGTATACTTTTACTTTAGTAAGGCTTTTGATATTGTCTCCCATGACCTTCTCATAAACAAACTAAGAAAATACAACCAAGATGGAGCTGCTAAAAGGTGGATGCATAAAGGATTGGATAACCGTTCCCAGAGAGTAGTTACCAGTGGTTCACAGTCAACCTGAAAGGGCATATCAAGTGAAGTCCCCCAAGAATCAGTTGTGGATCTGGTTCTGTTCTTCATCAATGATTTAGATAATGGCATAGAGAGTACACTTGAAAAATTTGTGAACAATACCAAGCTGGGAGATGTTGCAAGTGCTTTGGAGGATAGGATTAAAATTCAAAATGATTTGGACAAACTGGAGAAATGGTCTGAAGTAAAAAGGATGAAATTCAATAAAGAAAAATGCGAAGAACTCCGTTTAGGAAGGAACAATCAGTTGCACACATGCAAAATGGGGAATGACTGCCTAGTAAGGAATACCAGAGAAAGATCTGGGGGCCATAGTAGATTACAAGCTAAATAAGAAAGCACAATGTAACACTGTTGCAAAAAAAGCAAACATCATTCTGGGATGTACTAGCAAGAGTGTTGTAATCAAGACACGAGAAGCAATTCTTCTGCTCAACTCCACGTTGATTAGGCCTCAACTAGAGTATTGTGTCCAGTTCCGGTCACCACATTTCACAAAAGATGTGGACAAATTGGAGAAAGTTCGCAAAAGAGCAACAAAAATTATTTAAGGTCTAAACAACATGACCTATAAGGGAAAATTGAAAAAACTGGATTTGCTTAGAGTGGAGAAGAGAAGACTGAAAAGGACATGATAACAGTTTTCAACTGTTACGGGGGGGGGGGGGGGGGGGGGGGGGGGGGGAATGTTCTCATTAACCTCTGAGGATAGGACAAGAAGCAATGGGCTTAAATTGTAGCAAGGGTGGTTCACGTAGAACATTAGGAAAAACGTCTTAGCTCTCAGGGTAGTGAAGCACTGGAAAAACCTGCCTATGGAAGTTGTGGAATCTCCATCATGGGAGATTTTTAAAAGCATATTACACAATCACCTATCAGGGACAGTCTAGATAATACTTAGTTCTGCCATGAGTGCAGGGAACTAGACTAGAAGATCTCTGGAGGTTCCCTCCAATCCTGTGATTCCATGTTTTATTTGTACCTTTAGTATGCTAGGGCATTGGAAGGTGGAGGCAATAAACGTGGGTGAGACCATGGTAGCAGGTCGCATCAGTTTCCATTCCCAGTACCTAGGACCCTACCAAATTCATGGCCATGAAAAATGGGTCATGGACTATGAAATCTGGTCTCCCTCCATGAAATCTGTTTTTTTGTGTGCTTTTATCCTATACTATATAGCTTTCATTGGGAAGAACAGCATTTCTCAAATTGCGGGTTCTGACCCAAAAGGGAGTTGCGGGGGGGCGGGTCACAAGGTTATTTTAGGGGGGTTGTGGCACTGCTACCCTTACTTCTGTGCTGCCTTCAGAGCTAGGCAGCTATAGGGCAGCAGATGCTGGCCAGGATCCCAGCTCTGAAGGCAGTGCCCCACCAGCAGCAGTGCAGAAGTAAGGGCACCAGTACCATGCCACCCTTACTGTTGCCTTCAGAGCTGGGGGGCCAGAGTGTGGCAGCTGCTGACTGAGGGCCCAGCTCTGCAGGCAGCAGCACAGAAGTAAGGGTGGCAATACCATACCATGCCACCCTTACTTCTATGCTGCTACTGGCAGCGGCGCGGCCTTCAGAGCTGGGCTCCCGGCCAGCAATTGCTGCTCTGCAACTGCCCAGCTCTGAAGGCAGCGCCGCTGGCAGCAGCGCGGAAGTAAGGGTAGTAGTACCGCAACCCCCCACACAAAAAACCTCCTGTTCGGGTCAGAAACCCGACAATTACAACACCGTGAAATACAGATTTAAATAGCTGGGATTTACGATTTTTAAAACCCTATGACCGAGTAACTGACCAAAATGGCAAGCCCCCCCAGGCGGCCGCACGTGCGTCCCCCTCTGCGGCGCCACTCCCGCCGTCCCCCGGGGGACACCCGAAAACGCGTCTCCCCGCGAGGCGGGGGTGATGAAAACCGACTCTCCCCGCAGAGAGGATGCTTCAAACCGCGCTGCTGCCGCCACCGCCGGCCCCCACACGGCCCTGCCCAGGCGGCCGCACAGACCCGACCCTCCGCGCCGGCTCCGCTTACTCACCAGCCCGTCGATCTGCACCTGCTTGACGGCCGAGTCCCCCGGGGCCCCCTTGCTCCTGGCTTTGCTGGCGGCAGCGGAGGAGCCGGTGCTGGCGGCCACCGTGGTTTCCTTGCGAGACGCCATGTTTGGAGACGCTTCCCCCCCTCCCCACACCGGCCGGAAAGAGAAAAATGAAACACCGGAAGCGTGACTAAGGGCCCGGAGGTGGTTGTGAATGACTTCCGGACGGAAACTAAGGGTAAGGTCAAAAAGGGCCGAAGTTGAGTGGATGGTTCCCGGTTGACGCACGCGCAGATAATACTTTGAGTGGGGAGACACACTGCGCGTGCGTAGAATAAAATCGGGCCGCAGAAAGCCGCGCATGCGCATCAGTGGTGATTGGGGAAGTGTGTCTCTCCGCCTCGCACACAAACACACGCACGTGGAGGGCGCGGGGCAGCTCTGGGCGCGTGCGGGCCACCGTGTTGGTGTGAGTGTGGCCGCTAGGCTGCGCCTACACGAGCGGGTTGTACCACGTCAGCCGCGCAGGTATAGCCGGGGTGGCTACGCTGTGCTGGAGCAGCATGAGCGCCTTTGTACCGCTCTCGCTGCGTCCACACTAGGGGCTGTGTCGGGATAGAAGAACGTCACTCCCCAGCAGACATAGGTCGGCCCGTACAAAACCAGCCCGTGTCCCAGCGCTAACACCTGTTGGATCGCATTTCTCTAGGACGGGTGATGGCATCAGAGCAGGGCTGCATCCGAGGTCTACGGGTTTGCACTGGGATCCACCAACAGGCAGGACTGGAGGAAAATGAGGGTTTGGTGCAGAGGATTTCCTAACAGGAGATGTTCTAGGGGCAAGGGAGGGGGGACAAGCATAGGCAACTAGTAACTGCAGATAGGGGCACATTGTGCAGATACACATTGTGCAGATAGGAGCACAATGGCAGACTCCCTCTGCACCGCCATGGTCAACTTCCTGGTGAGTGACTGCCAGTGCACCCTCCAGCAACACCCTCTTGACCACAGCGCCCCCCCTGACCATGGAACCCTGGGCAGTCACCCACCCTTAAGGCCAGCCTAGCCAGGGTCGGTCTTAGGGAAAATGGCGCCATGGGCAAATTTGTATTTTGATGCCCTGGCCCCCCTGCTTCTCCCAGCCCCCCACCCATTGCCTCTGCCTCCCCCGGCCACCCACTCATAACTCTCGCTGCCTCTCTGGGCTCCCTACCCATCACCCTTGCCCCCTCACTGTCTGCCCAGGCTCCCCACCCCTGCCTACCCTCCCCATTGCCCCAACTGACTCCCCAAGCTCCAGGCAAGCTAATCCAGACACATACTCAAGCAGGTAACTGTGGCTGCTGGCCACAAGGAAGGGATGCAACTCAGCAGGCTTCCCTGCACCCCATCCAGCAATGCTATGCTGTCAGCCTAGCTTTGCTGCCCTGCTCTGGGCTCCACCTAACAGGGCTCAGCAGGAGTGCTTGCTGCTGGTGCCTTTCCCAGGCATGTCCCTTCAGCTGCGCTCAGCCCATCTCCCACCGTTGCAGAAATTGGGGTCTTTGGGAACGAGAGTGGGCATATGACCTCACGTGCCCCCACGCATCGTCTATGGGGACAAGGGTTGGCATTGAGGATTTTCCAATGGGAAGGGCTAGAGCAGAGGGACTGAAGGGTTGTACTGGGGATTTCCCAGGGGACCACGTACAGGGAAAGGGTTTTCACTGGAACTGTCTACACAGCAGATAAACACCCGTTGCTGGCCTGTGGCAGCTGACTGGGGCTCATGAGGCTATAAAATTGCAGTGTAGACATTGTGGCTGGACCCCAAGCTCTAGGGCCCTGCGAGAGGGGCGGGTCCCAGAGCCCAGGCTCCAGCCCACGCATCTACACAGCAGTTTTTAGCCCCACATCCTGAGCCCTGCATGCCTAAGTTAGCTGACCCTGCAGGCATGCTACAAGTCTTTTATTCCAGTGTAGACATACCCTAACAGGCCAGATTTGTGTGAAGCAGTGATATCAGCCCTGAGCCTACATGAAGAAGGACAGTGATAAATTGTGAGCTATGAGATTGTAGGAAGTGATACAAATGTGAGCGGGACAGGGGGGTTGGATAGGCGTGGGAGTCCCGGGGGGCCTATCAGGGAGTGGGGGTGTGAATAAGGGTCAGGGCAGTCAGGGAGCAGGTGGGTTGGATAGAGGGGCGGGGTCCTGGAGGGCGGTTAGAGGTGGGGTGTTTCAGGAGGGGGTGGTCAGGGGACAAGAGCGGGGGGATTGGATGGGTCAGGGATTCTGAGGGGAGCAGTCAGTGGGCGGGGCGGGGAGGGGGCGGGGGCCAGGCTGTTTGGGGAGGCACAGCCTTCCCTACCCCGCCCTCCATACAGTTTCAGAACCCCGATGTGGCCCTCAGGCCAAAAAGTTTGCCTACCCCTGCTATAAGCTGTCATTCAGAAAACAATTATTTGAATGGTTCTCTTTTTCCTCCGGAATGTCATTAATAAAAATCTATACATTTACCGTAGTTCCTGTGATTATATTTGGCCAGCATTGCAGCATAGTTGGCAACTCTGATTAATGTGGAGGAATAGACTTTGCGGCCAAACAGAGCTAACCTTTTACACCCCTTGTCAGAGGGGGTGGACCTATACTGTTGTCTCCTTCTCTGGTTGGCCGCCTAGATGACAAGTGAATTTGGTGTGGGGTGAGTAAATAAGAACTCTGTGCCTTTTGAGGGGACATAGTATTTGTTACCAGTCTTCTTACATGTGGGTGGTATGGTGGCTGGAGTCTGCCAGACTGTCTTAGCAGATTCCATCAACGTTTTGTTAATTGGTATTCAGAGTAACAGCCGTGTTAGTCTGTATTCGCAAAAAGAAAAGGAGTACTTGTGGCACCTTAGAGACTAACCAATTTATTTGAGCATGAGCTTTTGTGAGCTACAGCTCACTTCATCGGATGCATACTGTGGAAACTGCAGAAGACATTATATACACAGAGACCATGAAACAATACCTCCTCCCACCCCACTCTCCTGCTGGTAATAGCTTATCTAAAGTGATCATCAAGTTGGGCCATTTCCAGCACAAATCCAGGTTTTCTCACCCTCCGCCCCCCCCCCACACACACACAAACTCACTCTCCTGCTGGTAATAGCCCATCCAAAGTGACCACTCTCTTTAAAATGTGTATGATAATCAAGGTGGGCCATTTCCAGCATAAATCCAAGTTTAACCAGAACGTCGGGGGGGGGGGGGTAGAAAAAAACAAGGGGAAATAGTTTGTGGGGGGGGGGCGGAGGGTGAGAAAACCTGGATTTGTGCTGGAAATGGCCCAACTTGATGATCACTTTAGATAAGCTATTACCAGCAGGAGAGTGGGGTGGGAGGGGGTATTGTTTCATGGTCTCTGTGTATATAATGTCTTCTGCAGTTTCCACAGTATGCATCCGATGAAGTGAGCTGTAGCTCACGAAAGCTCATGCTCAAATAAATTGGTTAGTCTCTAAGGTCCCACAAGTACTCCTTTTCTTAATTGGTATTGTTATCTTAGATGTTGAGGATGTCTCTAAAATGTCAAGCAATTCATGTGCTTCCAGTACCTCCTCAAGAGCTATTTTCAGGTCATCTGCCATCCTTTTGAACAACTCCTGAAACCATTTAAAGTTATCAGCAGTCGTTGGTGGGGAAGGCATAATTGCCTCATGTGGAGAGGAGGAGGAGTTGTTGATACTGGGGGAGATGTCTTGTTCTTTTCTCTCCTCCTCTGTTGGCCCTTCTAGGGGTTTGGATGTCCCAATAGCCGAAGGTGGAAGTGGGAATCTGATGCCTTCCCAGTGTGGGCTAGGACATCTTCTATATGGTCCCCAAGGATCCCAGTACTGCCAGTGTGTGGGGAACGGCATGGGGGGGGACTTATCCAGGGGTGTCTGTACCATGTGGTATATCATGTCTATATGTTGGTCTTGAGCATAGAGATCCAGATGTTATTGATGGTCTGGCAGGAGAGAAATGGTGTGGGAAGAACACCCTTTCTTCTTCCTCGCTCAAAAATGCAGGGCACTAAGGATAGCGATCTGGTTGGAGAGCATTTTCTCTTGGATTGCTCTCTGTGTGGCAGTGAAGAAGCTCATTTCTTCACCTTTTAAGGAATGAGCTTTTGCCGAGGTCGCTGGAGAGGTCTTCCTTGATCTGGCTCTGGTAGGAGTCTGTTGACCCGATTCAGAAGCAGGCTGCAGGGACTTTTCCATCAGGATCATTTTAAGCCTCAGGTCTCTGTGAGCCCAGGCTTTGAGGTTGCTACAGTGAGCGCACTTTTGATGTGCGACTCATCTAAGCACCTCACACAATGTGTGTCTGCCCGACACTGACATTGCTTCCCTGCATGTCTGGCAGCGTTTAAAGCTGGGTGAAAACAAAATGTTTAGGTGAGTGAAGGGGAAGTAAACCATCTAAAAACTAAAGCTTATACTATCCAAACAATCTAACATCCTAAACTATTTAAAACAGGTTGTCTTTGAGCAACTGCTGGGAGCTCTGTCTCAGGCCAGGGACGGTTGAGAAGGAACTGAGGGGTACGGTCATGCGCGTGCTAGATGAGGCACCAACAGCGCCGCAAGACAGGCAGCACACATGTGTGACCCGAATGGGCACTGCTGCTGAAAGTCTGAGCTAAAGTGCAGGGATACACGAACACCTGAAGTGGAGCACCCACAGGAACATCACTCAAAGAAGAAAATTCCATGCTGCTTTCTTCCCCTGCTGGTGTTCACATGAAACAGAACAATTTGCAATCTCCTCGCCTTGTTAGGCTTGTTTTCTGCTGTATGTATATTGCAGTAAACCCATATTTCTCTGTTTAGTATAGACCTGTTTAACACCTTTACCTAGGCAAGGCTGTCTGGTCTTGAACATGTGCTAGTAACATAATACGGGAGAAATTCATAACTTTACATATAATGTTACTAAATACATTTCACCACAATATTATTGACTAGCAAGTTGTTTTCAAATGATACCTCACAAAGCAAATTTTGTATAAAGATTACAATAGAATGTAGGGTGTGAATACAGGGATTCTTTGAGACAGAGGGGTTGCAAGCGCTTTGGGGGACAGGATTAGAATTCAAAATGATCCTGACAAATTGGTCTGAAATAAATAGAATGAAATTCAATATGGACAAA